TAAACTTGAGGGACTTAAAAGAGAAAAGGATTTGGATAAGGATCAGCTAATTTTTTTCCTTCTTTCTTCCCCAGCCATTTTTGCATTTCTGCTCTTCCTTTTTCTCCCCTGCAGCTGAACAAGAAGCAAGCTGCTGACAACCCTCCCTTGAAGAAAAATCGGTAAGACTTGGGTTTTTTCCTTCTTTTCTTGTTCAATAACCAGATTTAAAGCTTGGAAATCTTCCCCCCTCTACAGAATTTTCGGATCTGCTCTGCTTTGCTCTATCCTTTCGTCGGCTGCTCTTGCTCGTGGGTGCGAATTTCCCTGATTTTTGGGTAAGAACAGCCATGAATCTCCCTTCTCCAGCTTTAATTGGCTTGGGTTTACTCTAATTTCCCTTGGTTTCTCCAATTTCCGGTAGATTCCCCCTAAATTTTCTACACTTCCCGCCGACCTTCCCAAGCCACAGCTCCGGTTTTTGCTAGAATTCTGGTATGTGACAGCCCCCTTTAAACCTAAAATTATCCATTAGTTATTGAATTTAAATCATCTAGTGGTTGCCCCTGCACTGTCCGAATTTTGCTGGAAAAATGGGGGAGTTTCGATAGCTTTAAGTGGGTTTTTTTGTTTAATTTAAGTGGAAATGAGCTTGAGTAGTTGCTGTAAATTTCTGGAAAAAAAAGAGTAATCCCGTGACTTGTTGATTGCCAAGCCGGTTCCTCCATTGTGTTTTTAGCTATATATATATGTGTGTGTGTATTTGTGTGTATATATATATGTATATGTATATGTATATGTGCACAACCTGATTTTAGTGCTCAATTTGCGGAAAGTAGGAAATAAAATAAAATAAGGAAATAAATGTTGCATTATGGGGGTTAATTACCGACAATATTAGAAAGGATTAACTAAGTAGTTTTTATATGGATATTAATTTTTGAATATTTTGGTTATGTTCTTGATTGTTCTGTCACCCTAACACTTGAAGTGAATTTTCTGTGTTACGTGATTTGAGGTAAGTAAATTATGGTAACGCCCTCCGATTTTAAAGCACATTTTAACTTGTTTTTGAAGTGGTGGCGGGACTAAACCCGTTTTACACAAGTATGATTGATTTGAAATAAAATTATTATTCTTTTTATTGACTTGAGCATGCCTTCTTGGAGTTTACTTAACTGCCCTGATGATCTGAAAATGATTTGTGAATTATGATTTTCCTGTTAACTTTTGCCTGTTTTGTCTCCGATATGGTTAGATTGTTCGTGCCCCCGCTAGTGGGAGATTTATAAACGCTAGCACATGTCGACATGTTACCGATAGAACCGGTTCGTTTATGTGACTGTTATCCTGCTAGTGAGATTATACACTAGTAAATCGTGTGCCTGCCAGTGGGAGGTTTATAACACTGGTCATGACCTATAGAGGAGACGTCTATTTCATTCCCGTACTGTATCCGTTTTTCGTGATTATACTGGTTAGCATGCTATAAGTTTAATTAAGGGCTATCCATATTTACTTACTGAGTTATCTCATAGTTTTTCTTTGTCCACCATTTAAGGAAGCGAAATCAAAGACAGGGAAAAACGGGGGGAGTGACGAGTTAGAAGGCTAGCCATCTTATAAATTGAACATAGGTTTTAGATATAAATCTTGATCTTGTAAGTTAGATTTTATTTAGAGATTTTATGATATCAGAGCAAATTTTATAACTTTGTCTTCAGATTTTGTTATATCAGATTGTGGTATGATAAAGTTCCAAGTTTTGTACATTTGTGAGACCCTCTACAAGTGTACGGCGTTTGCCACGTCCCCGGATTTGGGTTCTGGGGCGTGACAGATAATGCCTTACTCAGCCCGTTTTCATTTCTAAGTTTTCACTTCTAAGTCCAGTGTATAATCTTTTAAAAAGTAAAAAATCTTTGATTATGAAAAATCTAGAAACAATTAAACCAAATATCGGAGATATTCATAAAGTCGTAAATGGTAAATAAAATCTGGAGCATTCTGCTTTTGTGGCGACAAAAACTTTATTTAGCAATGTAATATTGTGAATTTGGAAAATAAATCTCTCAAAATATATGTGGTTAGATTTGTTTTCATTGCCTGCCATAACATCACAATAAAGGGGAAAAAATATCATTCCCACCCCATTTCAATACCATTTCATAATTTTCTTCTAATACGTTTGAAAGCCAATTATCTATGGAGATTATTTGAGAAAAAGTGTTAAGGATATCAATTTTGTAATTTTTTCTATTTAAAAATATTACATTTACTAAATTTTATTAAAAATACAAATTTTTTTTTTTTTTAAGATGTCAACTTTCAACATTCTATTTAAAAACTTCATTTATCATATCAACATCAGCATCTTACTAATCTTTAAATATTAATAAAAAAATTAAAAATTGACATTTTTAAACAAAAAAATTAAAAATTAATATTCTTATGAAAAAATTGACAAAATTAATATCTCTAAAAAGAAAAAGAGCAAAATTAATATGCTTATTTATGTTTTTTTCTAAAGATTATTTCTGGTCAAATTTCCCTTAGACAAAAAAGTACGGAATGAAATGTACCTACTACCTAGTAAATATGGCATGTAATATTGGATTTTTTTCTTTGAAAATCTTCTAGATACTTT